TTTAAAAGAGGGGGGCAGGGAGAGAGGGAAAGAATCTCAAGCAGACTCCGCGCTGAGCACAGAGCCTAAAGCAGGGCTCAATCTCACAACCCTGAGATCACAACCTGAGCTGAAACCAAGAGCTGGACGCTCAACCAACTTCATCACCCAGGCGCCCCGTCTTCCTGAGGTTTATTCTAAGTGGAATGAACCTAAAAGAACCATTGATACCAGGGTCATGGAACTAGGAGGATGAGAACCTGAGACTTTTGTACATTTGGTAGGGTATCTGCCCACTGTCTCCTGAATACACCTCAGCCTTTCTTCTTCCATGTTACCATCCCCTCCCCACCTTTTCCACTAGTTGAAATTATATCTATCCATTGCTCAAAATTGACCACGAATAGCATCTATTCCTCAAATCCTATGATCTCTTCCTCTTTTGAAACACACTCACTGCAATGTAACCTTCTTAATCATTGAATGGTGTTTCCCATTTCTTTCTTTTTTTTTTTTTAGATTTTATTTATTTATTTAAGATCGAGAGAGCACAAGTAGGGGGAGGAGCAGAGGAGAGGGAGAAGCAGGCTCCCCAGTGAGCAGGGAGACTGACGCGGGGCTTGATCCCAGGACCCCGAGATCACGACCTGAGCCAAAGGCAGACGCTTAACTGACTGAGCCACCCAGGTGCCCCTCCCATTTATTTCTTTATCTGCCATCACCCCATCCCTGACCCAGGCACAAGACCCCAAAGACAAGAGCCTAGTAACTGTTGGTTCCATGGTGTCTAAGAAGTATGTCCAATCACCAGCTCTTGTATAATACCTATTTCTTTTATTCTAACATGCATAATCTTTCACAATTTAACATTGGTGAAATCAGAATTCATCTTATAATCACTGGCATGCTATAATTTACTTAGTAGCATTTTTTCTTAGTGGTACACAAAATATGGGTGCATCTTACACAGATGGTACCTTAGATTCAGTGAAATAAAGTATCATTCAAGGCTTCCTGCTAATAGTTATGTTTACTCCTGTCTTCCTGCCTCTAGGGTGAATCATTCCATGTTCTCAATATTTCCTTAGTTCCTGTTTTCTACTCCTACTGTTGTCTCTTCTTTACCTCTTTTAATTTTCTCCTCTTCTCAGGGGGCGCCTGGGTGGCTCAGTCGGTTAAGTGTCTGCCTTCGGCTCAGGTCATGGTCCCAGGGTCCTGGGATCGAGCCCCGCATCAGGCTCCCTGCTCGGCGGGAAGCCTGCTTCTCCCTCTCCTGCTCCCCCTGCTTGTGTTCCTGCTCTCACTATCTCTCTATCTCTGTCAAATAAATAAAATCTTAAAAAAAAAAAAATTTTTTCTCCTCTTCTCAAGTAGAGTCAGACTATTTTACACTGCAATAAGATAGTGCTAAATACAGTGGTGTCACTGCATCATGGTCCCACGTGATAAAATGCTGTTTACGATCCTGAATATGTTTTCTATACAATTAACTCCAGTTAATTGTATAAACTAGTTAAAATACATCTCTATTTTTTTTTAAGTGTGAACGGGCCACCATATTACATAAGCCTCAATTTATGAAGACAATGTAGTCGGAAGCAGAGTAGTGTTGAAATTGAATAAGACAACTATAGCAATACAATATATTTAATGACAACATAATTATTCTTTGAGCAGCATTGTGGCCTGGGAGAGTCTATAGAGAGTAAAAATTTCTAAACAAGTCCAGATGCCCTGTACCATCCAATAATCCTTGTTTACATAGTTTCATTCTTCATCTGTCCACAAGGCTGGGAAATCCAGCAGTTTTGGGTCAGACAACTCCGTGGAGAGGAAGCTGTCCTCATTGGCACTGGCGTGGGGGAACCTGCCATGACCCCTAATGTTGTAGAAAGTGCTAGTCTTTCACCTCCCCTTCCCGTGGCCTAGGATCCAGTCAAAATGGGGATGACTTATCCCACAAACCCTATTCTCTGCAGCCCCAAACTTTCCTGTCTTTCTCACATCTTTGCTCAGGCTGACCGTTTCATCTACAACAGCACTATCTAATTAGGACTTTCTGTGATTGTGGAAATAGTCTACAGGTCTGCACTATCGAATACAATAGCCACTAGCCACATGTGGCTATCGAACAGAGCACTTGAAATGTTGCTAGTGCAGTGGCAAGAACTGCACTTTCAATTTTATTTTACTTAAATTTAAATAGATACATGGCTAGTGGCTACCCTATTGGACAGCACAGATCTAGCATGTATTTTTCTTTTTTCTTTCTTTCTTTTTTTTTTTTAGAGAGGTGAGGAGAGAGAGCAGGGGTGGGGGATGAGGAGTGGGGGAGAGGCAGAGGGTAAGGGAGAGAAAGACTCTCAAGCAGACTCCCCGCTGAGCAGGGCTCCATCTCACGACCCTGAGATCATGACCTGAGCTAAAATGAAGAGTCGGATAGCATGTACTTTTCCACATGGGCATCTATCATGTACATCTTCTCCAAATCTCCAATCTTCATGGGGCACCTCAGGGGCCGTTTTCTCCATGAGATTCAGTCTTCCCAGTGGAAATCATTCTTTCCTTCCTCAGAATTCCCATTACACTTTGAACCACTACTGTAGCACTTAACACTTTTTACCTTGTAGATATTTGTTTTTTGTTTTGTTTTGTTTTTTTTTTTAAAGATTTTATTTATTTATTTATTTGAGAGAGAGAGAATGAGAGATAGAGAGCACGAGAGGGAAGAGGGTCAGAGGGAGAAGCAGATTCCCTGCTGAGCAGGGAGCCCGACGTGGGACTCGATCCCGGGACTCCAGGATCATGACCTGAGCCAAAGGCAGTCGCCCAACCAACTGAGCCACCCAGGCGCCCCTACCTTGTAGATATTTGTATACCCTGTCCTCTACCAGTCCCCTCTCAGACAGCTGGAACTATCTCTTATTCCTAATCTGGACATCCTAGTGCAGGGATGCTTTAAAATGTTAGTTGCATGAATCTATAATAGCAGTACAGCAATCAACATTAACAATAAACAATTGGCAAAGATTGCTGTGCAATAAACGATCAACCTTGACAAAAGAAAAGGTTTGGGCCTTGGCCTCAGCTCCTGGGAGATCATTTCTAAGCCCTTATAGGAGACTCTAATAGGAGGGTGTTTGTTTGCCTGGAAGCCTTGGGCCATACCAGATAGTCTATACTAACGATGTGATTTATGATGGAGGCCTTAGGCTAAGAGTTGTCAGCTCAACCTCTGGAAAGGCTAGAAACTAAGGTCAGCCAGGCAAGCAGTTAGCTGTATGAACATGGCCGACCCCTAGTAAAAACTCTGCACACCTTGATGGACTTGGCTATGTTTCCCTGGTTGACAATACTTGGTGCATATTGTCACACACCACTGCTGGGAGAAAGAAGCACTAACTGCGCAGTTCTACTGCGAGAGAACAGTTGGAAGTTCTATGCCTGGTTTCTCCTGCACCCTGCTGTAAATGCTGCTTTCCTTTGCTGATTTTAATCTGTATCCTTTTGCCACATTAAACCACCACTCTGAGTATAATGGCTTTTCTGTGTTCTGGGAGTCCTCCTAGCTAATTATTAAACCTGAGAGTGGTCTTGGGAACCTCCCAAACTTGCAGTTGCCCAAGATAACCTATGTCATATTGTTGCCTAGAGCCTGTCCTGTTGAGAGTCTATCTCCTCAAATCCCTGCCCTGATCACACCACCTCTGGACTGGTGGGCTGCAGGCCCCAGTTCATATCAGGGCTGATAGCCAGGGATGGGAGTCTGGTCCTCCACATGGGCAATGGAGTGGTGGCAAGGGTGTGTCTGGGACCAGGACCACACAAGGAGTAGGTATGGTAACAGAGGAAATGGGTGGGGGACTGCCGAGTGGAAGGAGTGGAAAAGCTGGGATGCATAGGGCAACTGGGTGGCAGTTGTGGTGGCGGGGCGGGGGGGCGGGGGGGAGAGGATCAGGGATCTACGGGCCCCTGACTTGAAACTTCAGGAGGCTCTGGTACCCACCTGGCTCTAATCCTCAGGAACTATAAATCCCTGCCCCTGGGAGGCAGAAGCTGTGGAGGAGACTCCACAGGCCAGAGCTCACCTGACTTAGGGCAGGGTTATCCTGTCTTTAGCTGTACCATTTGTACACTCGTGACCAAAAGACCAGACACCCAGACCCTGAGCAGGAAGGTGGAAGGGGCAGTAGGTAGAGGGAAAGAGCAGAAAAACTTCTTTTATTAAGCAAGAAATCTGAACTGGGCATTTCTTCTCTATCCCAGAACAGCCCTCTGATTCCAAGTGCTGTAATTTAAAGAGAAGGTCCCCTTCTCAAAATCATGTTCTTTATATTTCTATAAATACTACCAATGAGGGGTTCACTTGAGTTAACTAGCAAGCACCTAAATTAGGGTTAAGAGAAATGGTCATTCACGACTTACTGCAGATTCAATTAATCAGATTGCTTTCCTAATCTGAGCTTAGCTACATTAGAGGAAAGTCATTACCTTGTGGAAGGGAGAAATCATTCGAGGGTGCAGGGCATATCTGGTTAGGTAGAGTTCCGGGGGTGGGGGCAGGGCTCAGACACAGGGACTATTAAGGACACCTGCCTGCTGGGAGAGAAGCCCAGAAAGCGAGGTAGGATGGAATATGGAACACATTGCCACAGCAGACCCATGGCTCCTTCCGCGCCAAGACCGAGTTCTGTTACCACCAATTCTCAAGTCCTTGGCCCTCTCCCCACCACTAGACTTGTCTTGCATGGAGATTCCAGGAGAGTAGTATTAAGCTGGCTTCGTGAGGGTCTCAGAGGAGACTGGAAGTGCTTTTCCAGACAGACTTGGAAGTAAAAGCACCAGCAAACAGACGGATCTGTGGGGTCAGTGGGGGTTGAGGAAGGGCAGAAGTACCCTCTGCCATACATAGAATGAGTGCAGGCTTAGAGAAGTTCTCTAAGAAAAGAGACTTCTATTTGTTCATTTCCACAGGACCTGGAACAGGGTGGGTACTCAATATTTAATGAATGGTTGAATGGATTGCAAAATCACGAGAGTTGCCAGACTCACCCAGGTCTCATTTCCTCTCTGGGATCTGAGATTTTTTTCCTTCCTAGGTAGGCACTTAATCTAGTTGTATGGGTTTACAGATTTTTTTTTATTCCTATTTTGAATCCTATTTCCCATCTCCTATCCAGAAAGCCCCTAAGCTTGCCTTTTATTCTTTCTTGTCCCTTCACAACTGAATCCTAGGCTTCATTAGGGTCTCAGACTATCTAGGAGGCATTTGAGTCATTTTTTATAGGAGGGGGCTCTTGTGAACCTGTTACACACAAGAACAGAAGAAGTCCGAAAGAGGTATGAAGTAGGACACAGAACACAGCATTAATGAGGAGCAAATCCATGAGGTCAGGGGAAGGGCAGCTGGAGGGCCCCCTCTGGGAGGGAGTGCTGCCATGGTGGTCTAGGAACTACCGCTCCATCTGGTGAGGGGAGCATGGTCAGCAGTTCCATGTGCAGACGGCTGGCCAGGCCCCATAGATATCTATGTCCTTTCCCAGGCACAGCCTCGGGGCCCCTAGGAAAACACTGACCAATAAATTAAGTTGAAAAATATGTAAGAGGCAGGAAATATCAACCTGGAGTATTTGTCAATGGCGTGGGTGTTCTGGAAGATGCGAAGACCCATGTGGCTCTTCAGAAGCCCTTTCTTCCTGGAGGAGTTGGATTCACTGCTCAGAGCCAGGTGGACCACTATTTTGTCTTGTCTTTCTTCTTCCGTCAGAATATGGCTTCTTGGGTACCCAGCCAGGCTGTTGGCCTCAGACTCACTGTAGCTTCCATCCAGCATCATGGTTCTTGAGTGAAGCATTCCACACATGCACGGGAACTGTGGGCAGCAAACACAAGGAAGGTGTCAGGCATGTTTAGGCCTTGTGGAGGGGCAGAAGCGGTGGCCTGGACCTGGAGCAAAGCCCCATGGCTACTCAGAGCCACAGAAAGGCAGAACTAGAAGGACCTCCAGAGATCACTCAGTCCAACGATTCTCTACATATTAGAACTCTCTGCATATTAGAATCACCCAGGGAGCTCTTTAAAATGGCCACATCCAGGCTTCACTCTCAACTAATTAATTTGAAACTATCATATGGTCTCATTTATATGTGGAATTCAAGAAACAAAACACAGGATCATAGGGGAAGAGAGGAAAAAATAAAACAAGACAAAACCAGAGAGGGAGACAAACCATAAGAGACTCTTAATCATAGGAAACAAACTGAGGGTTGCTGGAGGGGAGGGGGGTGGGAGGGATGAGGTAACTGGGTGATGGACATTAAGGAGGGCACGTGATGTAATGAGCACTGGGTGTTATATAAGACTGATGAATCACTGACCTCTACCTCTGAAACCGAAATACATTGTATGTTAACTAACTGAATTTAAATTTTAAAAAGATGAAAAAAAAAAACCTAATTAATTTGAAGATCCCTAGGTGATTCTACAATGCAGCGAGGGTCCAGAATCACTGATTTAGTCTAAACGTCCCCATTTGCAGAGGCAAAAACTAAGACCCAGTGAGGCTATACAATTCTCCCGAGATCACACAGCTAGTGTCACAGTCAGGGCTTTAAATGCACACATTCTGGGGGCCCCTGGGTGGCTCAGTCAGTTAAGCCTCTGGCTCTAGATTTTGGCTCAGGTCATGATCTCAGAGTCGTGGGATTGAACCCTGCTTCGGGCTCCGCGCTCAGCTCAGAGTCTGCTTGAGATTCTCTCTCTTCCTCTCCCTCTGCTCCTCCCCCTGCTCTCTCTCTCTCTCAAATAAATAAAGTCTTTTAAAAATATATTTAAAAAAATAATAAACCCATACATTCTGATTCCAGTCGTGGGTCTCCACGTCTTTGTGCATGAATCAAAAGATGGTTAGTTAGGAGAGTATCCTTATGCTAAAGAGTTACATTTAAGCATAAAAGGTCACGGTGCCTGCAATGCATTTTTAAATGGTTCAACTGCACGGACAAAAGTACATTTATGTGGAGAAAGAGCTCACACAATAATGGCAAAACATTAACAATGTTGGGTGTAGGTACAGAGTCTATGGAGGAACGTTATTCTATTTTTCAACTATTTCTGCAAGTATGAAAATGTTTATAAGACATTATAAGTTGGAAGGAAGGAAATAGTTTCACTTCTGCCTATAATTTGAGTCAGCAAAGAGTGGGCTTCCAGCTGGCACCGGCTAACTATTCATGGGCCCATACTTGTCAGGTGAAGGCTTGCTATTTTTCCAACAGCTCTATACAGGAAAGTTCACTGGGTTATAAATCAAAAATGTTTAAATATAATCCCAAAGCACTTGACAATGACCAATGTGCAGATTATTGAAAATTTGAATGGATACTTAAATGCTAAAGTAAAAAAGGTTTGAATAGAATTTTTAAAAATAAATTCTTAAACAATCTAGCCTATTTGGAGACAGTGTAGAAATATTTAGAATATATGTAGAATGTTTAGAATATATTTTAAAATACATATATTTCATATATTTAGGTATAATGTGGGCATTGAAAGACTATTTTTGAAAAGGCAACACATCCTCTTTTCCTAAAATTTAAAGCTCCCTTATATTAAGCCACCTAGATGTGCATAAATGTGGGATTTTCATATCCCCTGACCTTTATACCTTCTAGCTGAACACCCATTTTGATTAGTGCAATGATGACCAATGATTTGGTAACAAGTTGGCATTTTATTTCCTACTGTGATTAATAAGAGTCTGAATATGAATGGAATGGACATTCCCTCCCTGTGTCAAAGGCCCACGCCCATTGCCTGAATTCCCCATTTGTATCCTATCTCATAACCAACGAAGGTTAGTATAGGATAGTGCAGTCCCGTGTAGATGGCAGTTATTTCCAAAGAGGCTAAAGGCTAAAGTTGTATGTGACTGAAGTTTATGGGTCAGAGCACAGATAAATACAAGAGTTTTTAATTCTCGAACCCCCCCCCCCTTGTTCAGTCAAAGGACCTGGAGGCACCTTCCCTAAACAAGTCCAATAGTAATAGTGATACTTTAAGTCTGTCCAGAACCCTGCAGTTTCAAAACAACTTTTGCATGCATTACCTCGCGTAAGCCTTACAACAACCCTGGGACGAAGGCGAGGTGAGGATTGCGCTCTACCTTCCTTAGAGATGAGGAAACAAAGGCCCAGCCTAAGTGGCAGAGTTGGACCTAAGACCCCCAAGTCTCCCTGTTCCTAGTCTTGGTCCAAAGACTTTCTGCTTTCTGGGATCCTTGGTGGTAGAAGCTAGAACCTATTCTAAAATAGACCCTCCTCCATTTTGCGCAAACATCGCCCTCCTCTACAAGCCACCCTCCGTCCCTGCCATTCTCGTGCAACCAGGAGCCTGGGCTCCCGCCAGGAGGTGAACAAAACCCGTCTCGCCTTCTCGCGCAGCTTCCGCTCCTTGCGCTCCTGCACGGTGGTCAGGTAGTTGACGGCTGCGTACTCCAGCACCGACAGGAACACGAACACGAAGCTGACCCAGAGGTAGATGTCCACCGCCTTGATGTAGGAGACGCGGGGCATGGAGGCGTTCACGCCCGTGATGATGGTGGACATGGTCAGCACGGTGGTGATACCTGCAACATGCAGCGATAGGTCAGCCGCTGACGAGGGTACGGAGGTGCCCCCCCCCACATGTCACGGAGTCACCGTTTTACATTCTCCCTGTCGGAAACCCAACGAGAAATCCCCCGGGGCATGGAAACATCCATGCCGTGGATCTGCTCCACAAACAGCCGGCGGCTCCACCCACCCCCCGCCCCGCCCCAACCTCCCCGGGCCAGCTCGCTGCTGCTGGTCCCCTTTGCCTGTCAGCCCCTCGGGGGCCTGGGTGTGGGTGATGTGACTCACCGGATCAGCAGCGCTTCGCGAAGGACCCCGTCGGATGGGGAATTCGAAACAGTGAGTGAAGGCCCCCTCTAAAGGAAACTGGCCCCACCGCAAGAAATGGCCTCATTCCCTCTCATCTGCGCCACACTGATTAAGTCTCCGAAGGCTGTGGAAATTCCTGGATACCTGTCACGCTAGCTTCTTCATTGTGCCTGGCTGGTTAAACCCTCACATTTCTTGGAGCCCAAGCTGATTTCCTCCAAATTGACAATGATGAGCTGTTAACGTTCCCTCTGGAATTTCGGGTCTGCGAGGACTAAAACCGCAACTTCGGGGAGTACCGCTCTCTCCCTCCCCCAGATCCCCGCCCTGCCTTCAAACTCTCAGTCTGTCCAACCAAGGCCAACAAACACAATTTTTGTATTTACAGAACAAGGTTTTGGCATTTGCAGAATTGTCTTATTTATCGAAGTACTGAGCTCTAAGACTGCTGGTGGGGGAAGTCTATCCCCCAAATAGGCTTTATTTTTCTGAAGTGATTGGAGCAAAGTTGTAGTTTTAGCTCCCTGTGGTTTCCGTGAGGTAGTCTAGGAAACGGAGAGCAGCGCGTGAATGGTGAAGGCTGCAAGCGGGAGGAAAGTTTGCTCCTTTGGGCTCTGACAGCCCATCAGGTAACTCTGAATGATGATTTTACCTTTTCTCTTTATACTGACCTGCTGAAAAATATAGCCACCCCCCCCTTAACACATGCTTTTACCCAGTGAAACTCTGGCGGGCACAGCTTTGCGGTCGATCCAGAAGGACACCCAGGACAGCATGACCATCAGGGTGGCAGGGAAATAGGTTTGGAGCAAGAAGAAGAAGATGTGGCGTCGCAACGTGAAGTTAATGTACAGACGGTTGTACCAGCCTGGGGGACACAGGAAGAAGCCAGTGAGGTTCAGTTTGAGAGGTAAAAACAAACTCCTTCCCTGGGAGCCCTTCCCCCACCCCCACCCCCATTGCTCTCATCTTCAGCAGAAAGTTAAAAGTTAATGAACTGTTGACTTACTATAATACATCTCCTTTCTAAAATCTAAGCCCTCTATTAATAAGTGTCTTGCTAGTATCTAATGCATGTACTGTTTTATTCAATGTACCTAACTTCTCTTCTCTTCCCCTAACATTTTGGGGAAAGGTAGAACGAGAGATCTAGGTTTAGTTGCTGGTTTGGTATTTGTTACTTGCAACCCACAACCATATTTCCTGAGGACTCACTGCTCAGGAGGCTAAGAAGTGGGACTGGTTCTGTTTTGTTGAGGCCAATACCACTGAGGCAGGCGCCAGCAGAGCTGGGCTTTTGTCACTGTCCCCTCGGTTGTAGATTGGTCAGCTCAGCCAGTCTCCACGTATGTCATGGGATGGATGGTTGTAAACAAGGACTAAAATGGTAAGGTGTCGAATGATCCACAAGATCGACACCCAATCACTGGGACCAACGATGGCGTCAAGGGCAGTATAAATGTCAAAAGGAACTTTTGCAACTGTGTGCACACACCCACCCCACTCCCATTTCAGCCCAGCCTGGGATACTGACTCAGTAGCTTGCAACGGGGCCCGGAAATCTGCTTGTCAGACACACTTCCCTGGTGGTTTGGATGCAGGAGGACCGCAGGCTGCCCCCAGGAAAACACTGCCGAGGGAACACCTGGCTGGTGTGGAAAGTTACCGCTGAATCAGGTAAGGGGAGGGTTGGATCACTAGGGAAAGGCTGGAACAATAGGATGGGTCCGGACAAGCTTGACACACGGTTACTATGTAGGTTCCTCAGTTGTCTGAATGAGCTAGGTGCTTTTAGTGGAGTGAATAGACACATCTTCAGATATGACAGAAACTCCTAATCATTTATTCATCCCACAACCTTTGCCCCATCACGTCAGCTTTATTTTCCCTACTTAAATTGGCACCCATGAAGCAAATCAGTTTGTTCCTTAGGTTTGCACAGGGTCTTTCTGGAAGGGCTGAGAGTTGCCTTCATTCTGTGAAGGACTATTCCACTATCCTTTCCTCTTAAGAAAACCAGGGAGAGTTGCCTTGGAAACACTAAGAGGGAACCAAGAGCTTTAAAAATGTATACTCTGTGTTCCAAACAGCACCCTGTGGTGAGATCGCAGCCCCTGTGGGGGGAGGGGGGATGATAAACCTGCTTGTTGGTACATAGTAAATAATGGGAGAGGAAGATGCATTTTAATCTGGACTCTAGAAAGGCTCAAGACAAACAAACAAGCTTCTATCTGAATACAGAAAACATCTCAGAGGAGTGCACATAGGGACTAAGGCAGATTGGCCACTTACTAGCTGGGCAACTTCAGTAAGCAACTTAATGCTTCTGAGTCTCAGTTTTCTCATCTGTAAATTGGGGATAATAATATCTACACCATAGGTTTGTTGGGTAGAAATTAGTTAATTCAAATAAAGCTCTCAAAACAGTGACACATAGTAAAGTTATAGAAGACAGTCTTAAAAATGGTTCTAGAAAGAGTGGGTTTGAACTTGCCAAGAAGAGATGAGAAAGGAAGGTTGTGTGGCAACGCACACCCGTGGAGAAGGGGAGAAAGGGGTGAGGACGAGCCCTGTGGGCACAAGGGAAGCCGGCTTGGGCGGTCCGGATCTAAGACCACTGGGACTGGGGCTTGGTCTTTTTCAGTGTTTGATGTTGGGCGCAGAGGGGTGTGCGTGGAGGCAGGGGAACAGCGACATGGATGGGGGCCGTGCAGGGGCAGCCGGTGGCACGAAAGCTCCGCACGGAAGGGCCTGGGCTTCTCGGCACATGGACAAGGAGGGGGAAGTGAGAAGTGCCTTAGGGTCCTGCAGCTACTGCAGGGCTGTCATGGGGTGAACTGTGTCCCTCAGAAAGATATGTTGAAGTCCCACCTCCCAGTTTCTGTGAATGTGACCTTATTTAGAAATACGGTCTTTGCACATGGAAGCAAGATGAGCTGAGGGCACGCTGGATTAGGGTGGGCCATAATCCAATGGCTGGTAGCCTTACAGAGGATGGAAATTCCATGGACACAGATACATAGAAACGGCAGCATGGGAAGACACAGAGAGGGACGCGGAGAATGCCACGTGACGACCGAGGCAGGCATTAGAGCAATGCAGAACCCACCAGAAACCAGTAAGAGATAAGGAAGGGTTCCTCCCTACAGCCTAAGGGGGGAGCATGGCCCGCAGACCTCTGGCCTCCAGAACTGTGGGCAAATACATTCCTGTAGCTTCAGGCCCCCAGGTTGTGTTTATTATGACAGCCCTCAGAAACGATGACAAGAGCTAACGGTGAGATTAGAGGACTGACAGGGGCACCCTCTCAAAACCTCAAACACGGCCCAGGGCCCAGGATGAGTTACACTAAACATTAAAAATAAAGCTATAGGGGCGCCTGGGTGGCTCAGTTGGTGAAGCGTCCGACTCTTGATTTCGGCTCAGGTCACGATCTCAGCGTCCTTAGGTGGAGCCCTGAGTCGGGCTCCGTGCTCAGCGGGGAGTCCGCCTGGGATTCTCCCTCCCCCTCTGCCCCTCCCCCTACTAAAGTAAGTAAGTAAATAAATAAATCTATAGATCTAAATATAGGTAATAGATACATTTCCTCGGAAAGCTATCATCCATATCATTAAGTCAAACAAATCAGACTACAGAATAGCATGTAAAACAATTATATCATTAAAGCAAGATGTTTGCAAAGGTGTGTGCTAAATTGTTAGGAGTGGTTGCCTCTGGCCATCGGATTTCAGAGGACGGCAACTTTTTAAATTTCTGCTTCCAAGTGTTGCTTATGTTTTGCAAACTATGCATTACTTAGGAATACACATTCATTCTCCTTGGCAGGGGGAAAGTTCAAGGCTGGAGGATTCTAATGTATTTTCTTCCACATTCGGATCAGACCGTGGCAAACATTAGCTACCAGTGCTGCTGTAGAAGGCCAGTCTGGAAGTGGTGTGAAATTTCTGAATCAGAAACTGGGACAGGGAGATCTTCTCATCGGTTTTCAGGGATTCATCCCCATTCTTCCAATACAGCATCAGATCTTCATCTGTATATGCATCTTTGGGGAAAGGAAAATAAGTTAATTCGACTCCTTTGCTTCTGAGGTGGCTGAAGCCACAGGGAAATCCTACACCAGCCTCGGAGTAAACAGGCCTTACCACGGGCAGGCAGTACTCAGTCTCAATGGTTACTAAAATGGCACAGAGATTGGAGCGGGAACGAGGCGGAGATTTGTCATTAGGAACACTGATACTTACAGCTTTCCAGCTCCAAAGAGCAGGTCTGGGAGTCCAGGGGAAAGTGGCTGAAGTCCATGTTGCACATGGCAGTGACCGTAATCCTAGGCAACCCAAACAAGCATGTTGGCTTGTGCAGTGAGTTCTTGGCTTATACGCCTGCCCGGAGTAAGGAGAACCCTGACATGACCAAGAGCAGTGCCTTCTCACACCTACTGCAGAAGTTTGGAAACCCCAGTCTCTACCTTGCAGGACCCTAACTTTTAGAGTTCTGTCTTCCGCAGCACATGTTATCAGTGCGCTGCGGGGCCCCAGGCACTGAGGGTGTTGGCTGTCAGGGGCACACACTTGCACCCTTCTCTGCGCAATGGCCCTCACCCAGTGGGCCACCTCCCCCAGAGATGCCTGGGAAGTTATGGCCTCCCCCCCGCCCCGCCACCCCAAGGCTATTAGCAATGAATTCTGGTGAACCGTACAAGCAGGCCAAGAAGATGGGGAATAAGCCTGTGTAATCACTCATTAGCCCAGAAGCCAGTCTGCAATAGCACTCAATAAACAGTAGCTCTTGTTGTCTTTTTAGATCTTTATTACCAATGAACTAGAATCCTAGGCTCTCGGGGGTGGAAGGTACACAGAAGGTCATTGACTCCCTCAACTCACTCAGGCCTACCTAGTCTCCTAACCTGAGCTTAAGCTCCCCTATGACTGGGAAGTCGCTGGCTACTAGGGCGACCATTCCATCTTCAGAGAGTTCTAACAGACATCAGGAGGCTCGTACCATCTGTATAGCCCACAGGCCCAACCACGATGACAAACTCTTCAGGGCCAAAGAGACTGACTATACATATTGGAATGGCGTTGGACCAAGAAACAGTGAGGCCGTGGATAGTTACCTCATGCTGTAGAGCACGTGTCCATCTGGAAACACCCTCAGCATGATGTTGTCAGTGGTGGTGTCGTGGGTGAAGGACCGTTTGGAGTGAACAAAGAAGACGTCGGGGACCCAGATCTTCTTTACCAGCCGGCCGTCGAAGGTCATGCTCTTGTTGCTGGTGCTGGGAAAGGCCAGCCTCTCGTCCTTCCAGTAATGCCGCAGGTACAGGGTCATGGTGAAGTCCTGTGGGAACCCGAGGTGACACCAGACAGAAGTGCTTAGAAAGCTTCCTTTCTTACAATCAACCCGTCAGCAACTAAAGCAACAGACACCTGAGGCTCAGCCGCGGGACGATGGCTGCCCGCCTCCGCCATGCTGCTACAGTAGGAAAGAGATTGGCTCCTTGTTGTGCATCGTGAGGTGGGAGCCCTGGACAGTGAGCAGCCCCTCCTGCAGGTGTCGCGAATGAAACCTGAAGCTGTGAGGCGGACAGCGTGGCATGGGGGCCAGCGGGGCGGATTTCCCCGGCGTCCTGCTCTCTCTCACCCAGACTTGTGCACGCGGGGTTCCTTTCCTGTTGGCTAAGCATTCAGTCTCAGGTGAGTGGACACTGGGAGAAACCTGCACAGTCAAGTGTCCTGTTTAAGAGAGTTTCTATCGTGGGTTTTGCAGAACCTTTGAAGGCAGAATTGTGTCCTGCGTGCCATTGAATCCCCAGACCCTAACTCGGTACCTGACAAGGCACAGAGTAGGTGATCAATAAACATTTGCAGGATGGAAAAATGGGGGGGGGGCTGTGGGCAATGAATGGATGAAGGCATGGACAGCTACGTATCTACTATAACTTCTGCCGGAAAGCTCGTTCTGTTAAACAGTGTCTCCTGCCTTAAACCAAGAGTCTTGTACCTCTGCCACAGCCAGAGGATACCAGTGCTAAGTTACAAGTGTGACCAAGTAAGTACCCCAAACATCCTCTTCTGGGAGCGAGGGTGGAAAGATGCCTGGTGGTGGTGGTGGTCTCAAAGTGTAGGGCCCACTTCTGCTTTACCAGCACACCTGTACCCCTCCTGGCTGTCCTGCAGGGTCACCTGTGGAGGGGAGCACCCCTCCGCCCAACCCTCCACCCCCACCCCTTCCTCACTTTGTGCTCCACTGTTTTAGTTTGTGTTTGTAAACCTCCTGTTTCTTCTGCCTCCGGGGCCCTTTCCCTGCTCTTGCTCTGGTCCTCCCCATGTTGTCTCCTTATCTATTCTTCAGGTCTCAAGTGAAACAAGCCTTCTTCAAAAGCCTTCCCTTAACTACCAGATCTTGGTGGACACTGCCAAGGATTGCCTAGGGGAGCCATGCTCAAGTTGGGCACTGGAGAGCAGAGAACGGCAGAATTTCTGTCTGAAAATGTCCACCTCCCGTGATCCTCCAAGTGGGGTTCATCTGACCGGTCCCATCATGTGAGAGGTGTGTCCAAAATGTAAGGGGCTGGGCCTCACTCCCAGAGACTGATTCGGGAAGCCTCCGGTGGGCCCAGGAATCTGCATTTAACCAATTCCCCGAGTTACTTTTACCCATCCAGTCGAGAACCTCTGCTCTATGCTTCACTGCACCTGAGCCAACTTCCGGGTCCCAGTTTTATCCCCTGCAGCCCTGGCTCTGCTCACCCAGGCACGGCCTGCACCCATGCAGCCACAGGTGCTCACAGAACCTTAACCGCGGAACCCCGCACCCAAGGCTGCCCTGCCGAGGGCACTGCGTACCATGTCCACCTCCGAGATGCTGTCCAGGCTCTCCACCTGCACGTCCACGCCCACCGGGATAGCAGGGCCTGCAGAAGAGCAAAGACAGCTGGTGAAGGCACATTCTATCTACCACTGGGTCAGCAACCCAAACCCCCCTCCTGGGGATAGCCTGCCTGGAGCAGGGTGAAGCAGTAATTCAAATTCTATGAGGGTTTTCTTGCTTCTTCCTGATGTGATGGGTGCCTGAGCTTTCCTCCTGAGGGTGGAGACTGTGTCTGCTTTATGTGTCTTTCCTGGACCAACGTGGATGTTTAATCCATGTTTGTTGCATGAATCAATGAGCTGGATTACTACTTTCTACGTCCCAGCGCTGTCTCTGTAGGGTAGCGAGAATAATGCTCTAGTGTTTGAGTAGGGACCCTGGTCCACTGTTCTGCCTGCTGTGACATCTATAAAGGGCAGATGAGGCCTAAGAGCCTCGGACCCGGGCCTGGGACACCAGCGTGCCTGGGGCTGGATTCATTCGGTCACTCAAACCATACCTCCCAAGTACCTAACAGATAACTGGGATCCTGCCCCCAGAAGCCTTCAGTCTGGTGTGAGAGACGATCTCTGTGCAGTTAGATCACAGCCAAAGGCAATACCGTACAAGATTTTTAAATCCTTCCAGGACGTGTCAGAAGAGGAGTAGGAGAGTACATGCACAAGAGCTTGACACTCAATTCCATCTGGCCGGGAGCAAGACATTGAAAACTGTGCTTAGCTGTGGATTTAACTGTGGCTTCCTGTTCTATTTCTTGGGCTGGATGCTGGTTACATTCACTCTGTGATAACTTAATGGGCTGTCCACTTACAAATGGTATACTTTCTGTATATTATACTTCCATAGATTGTTTTTTAGATTTTAGTATCTTTTTTAAACCTAGAATGGGGAAAACCAAAAACCTGTGTTTGTCAAGCATATTAACAAATGCTATTATACTCATAGACAAAAAAAAATATATCTCTGAGAGAGTCAGGTGGCAGCTGTGCTGGGTTTCCTGGGGAGAGGGCATTGTCTAGAGGCCAGCCCCGCTGCACCTTGAACCTCTGAGCCCCAGCCAGGGAGTACAGGACCAGGCCATGCTGACCCACTGTGGTCTGAGCAGGGAGAAACTTAGGGGGGCCGAGGGAGTCTGGGTCTTAGGAATGAGAAGATCTGGAAGGCATCAAGATTTTGGTCATGGGCAGGGAAGGAGGATCAGAGACCCTGACATGGAGTAGGAACCAGAAGGCTCAGTCCTCAGTTCCAGCCCAAACTGGGAGGCCGGGGGTCCTCATGGAGGCAGCCCAGGACATTGGATGGGCTCACCAACTCCCCCCAAACTCCCCTGTATACCTGCTAATACTTACAATCTCACCATTAAAGATTCGTTTTTTGAGCTCAATAGAATGGAAGCATTTTATTGATTACTAGAGGGATTTAATGGATATTTTCTGTATTCTTAAACATGTAAGCAAATGAGTACAATGCTTTATTTTTTATTTTTACTTTTTCCCTCTCAAATCAGGGTGTAAACTGCTCTTTTTATTTTCCCATGTTTTTCAACTGATGGTTTAGGTCAGGGCCCATGAGAAGTCCCTGCTCTGATAGCTGTGTTCTCTTCTTATTCCAGGCTCTAGGGATTCTTTGAAGGTGGGGAGGAAGCCCCCTCCTTAGGGCTGACTAGTCTGCCTTTCTCCCCCAGTGGGGCTTGCAACATGAAGGGAATCTGCAGGGAGCCTGGCCAGGGTTCTCTCCTAGTACCCAGACCCTGCTCCCCTCGCGGGGCCACGTGCTCCCAGCACAGCCATCGGGGAAGTGGGGCTGGTTAATTTCCTCATCGTCTGGACCCCTTGTTAGCCAGAGATGTTAAAATGGCCCAGAGTCTGAGCTGTTAACTCTGGTAGCACTGCCTCTCATGGAGGTGTGCTGTACGTGACCCGCTCTCCTTTCCCCTCGCTTCCTTTCTCTAAAGTTCCAAGTGATCTGCCACATCCAGTTGTTCCAAGAGCCAAAGGGAAAAAACAATACAGCCATCACCTTCTTTGGACTCACCTCCCAGTGGCCTGGTTTTCAGATAATGGGCACAGTGTTTGAATAGGAGCTGGTTTTGGCAAAGGACATATTCAAGATAAAATATATCAGCTTGCTTCGAGTCTGAAACCATGTCTTTCTGTTCTCAGGGCCTGCCCTGCTCTCCACAGCTCCAGCTGCCCTTCCTTCTAAGAGAAATTTTGATAACGCCTGTGAGGGTGGTGTCAGCGCTCTGGAGGTCCTGCCCACGTGGGAGTACAGGTCAAGTTCTCAGGAGACCTCGGTTGTTGAAGGTAAACAATCTGTGTGTTCAGGAGACTCTAAAGCTGCATTCTGGGGGACTCACACCTCAAGTCTGAACAGAACCAATGCCCTGTCCTCCTTGGTCTGAGTGCAATAGAGTTGACTTTTGTCCTTGACCTACCCCACTTCCCAGGGCTAATGCTTCCAGGCTCTCCTGAACTCTCTATTTTGTGGCCCTTCCCAAGCTGATTTTGGGAGAAATTCTTCCAAATTACTGGTCATTCTCTCCTTCCTTGAACAGTTTTATGTTTTGAGTGGGACAGGGTCCTATAGGGTGTTAGAAAGAAAACAGTCTAGTTAATTTAAGTAGGCATTCATGCCTTGGTCTCTTCACACCGCTGTGGGTTTTTCTGCTTTGAGAGAGGGATCTGGTAAACCAGATCAAACCAAACAGAAGTCACTGGTGGGATTTCAAGTAGTATAACCAATGAGGTGAAAAATTCAAGGCAGCATAAGGGATATACATGTGTAGCCAAGGATTTTCTTGGTTCCTAGCCTTTCTACCATTATTTCTCCTCACTTGGCCCTAAAAAGCACATGTTAGGAATTTATCCATTTTTTAAATTAAGATATATGTCATTTCTTCCCCACTGACTCCAAGAATGAGTGTGAAACAGAATTTTCAGACAAACTAAAACAGAGAATAGGCCAAAATATGTCCTGCCCTAAATGAAGATCTTTTTCAAGCCAAAGGAATGTGACCCCAGAGGGAAAGCTGGGGATGCGGGCATGAATAAAGCAAAACAAAAATGGCAAACATATGCATAATTCTAAGTAAACATTGGCTATATAAAACAATATTAATAATGTATTGTGGAGATGAAAAAACTAAACAGAAATACAAGCAAAAATAACATTTAAATGAGGAGGGTTATAAATGGAGTGACAGTGTTCAAGGTCTTTGCGTTGCCTTGGAGAACAGTTAAAGCAGCTAATTAACACACTAGTATGATAAGCCACGAGTTCAGGTTGTTTTCTGGGGAGCCGCTGACAAATAGCGAGAGTATGTGTGTTCAAAACTAAAATAGGAAAGCTTAAATAAGAATAACCAAAAGTAGCCAATCCATAAGAAAACAAGTAAGGAAAGAGAAAAAGAAAGAACACAGAATTGGTTGGACAACAAAAAAGAGTAGGATGACAGATTTAAAACCAACATGTAAATTATTCCTAAATATAAGTGGACCAAATGTTCCATTTAACAAATACTGTCCAGCTTGATAATTCAGCAATGCTAAAAGTTTGTCAGACTGAATCAAGAAACAATACCCAACTCTGTGCTGTTTGAAGAGACACACCGAAAATATAAGATACAGGAAAGTTGAACATAAAAGGATGCAAACGATATCACATGCAAATACTAACCGAAAGAAAATAGGTGTAGTTATATTATATCAAATAAAGTAGACAAAGAGAGAGAAAGAGGGTCAGTTTGTAGCAATAAATGACTCAATTCACCAATAAAATATAAATATAAATTTGTGTGCATTTACTGATATAACCTCAGAATGCAAAAATCAAAAGTGGACAGAATTGAAGGAGAAACAGACAAATTTACATTCAGAGTGGGAGACTTTAATACATCTTTCTCAGAATTTATAAAACAGGTAGGCAAAAAAATCCCAGTAAGGACATATAAGATGAAAACAAATTAACAAACTTGACATAACAGACATGTTTAGGACAATGAATGCAAAAACTATATAATAAAAATTCATTTCAAGCATTCGTTGAACATCTACAAAAAATTTACCATATACAGTGCTAAAGAGCAATTTTGACAAACTTTGAAGGACTGGAATTGATATAAACTGTGAACTCAATGAACGTTAGAAATTAGCAACAAAAATATAACTAGAAAATCTCTATACGTTTGCAAATTCAGCAATATACTTCTGGAAAAACTCATGGGTCAGTGAAGACATCATAATGAAAAGTAGAAAATGTTAACAAAATGATTTAAAAAATACTACACATCAAAACGCATGGAATGCAGGCCAAGTGTGTCTTCCAGGGAAATTTATAACCTTAACCATCATCTCAGAAAGGAAGAAGAGCTTAAATTCAATGAGCTAAGCATCCATCTTTAAAAGTTAGGAAAAGAACAGCAAATTAAAGTAGATAGAAGGAAATAACAGAGGTAAGAAGAGAAGGCATTGAAATAGAAAACAGACAACTGAAAGGATAATTAAAGCCAGATATTGGTTCTTTCAAAGGACTGATAAAAACCGATAAAACTCTAACAAGATTGATCTTGCCAAAAGGAAAGCAAAAATAGCCACTATCAGGAATGAAAAAGGCATCACCGTATAAGCTACAAACATAAAAAAGATTAAAAGACATTATTCTGAACAACTTTTTGCCAATAACCTTTAAAATTTAGATGACATGAACAAATTACCAGGGATATACAACATATCAATCAACACTGATAAGAGGAAAAATACAAAAACCTGAAAAGTCTTATAACTATTTTTTAAAAATTGTTTTTTTATTTAGAAAAATTTTAATTTAAAAAATCTTTAATTTAAATTTTCCCACAAAGAAAATGATAGGTCCAGATGCCTTCACCAGCAAATTCTAGCAAAGGTTTAGGAGGAAATAGTACCAGTCTTATGTAAGTTTTTCCAGAGAATATCAAAAGAATATTTTAAAAAATCAAAATACATGTCAAAAGATACCAAGTTATTTTATGAAGTTAGCCTAAGGACTGTACAAGAAAGCAAAATT